AAATCACTTAAGACACTTAAAATGTGTAGCACCATTTTATGCCCTATTACAAAGCACACCTAATTTTAAACCTATGACCTTCATCTTTCCATTTATTATATGCATAATTTTGAGTACTTAACATCTATAGAAATTCCATGCAGTTATATCAATTAAATATTTGCCCATTTTAATTTAGTGTGCACACAAAAATAGTAAAATGCAAACCCCACACATGCCTTTGAAATTCTGGTATTGGGCAAGGTCACAGAAGAGTGAATTATGTAAAGACAAATGCAGAGACGGTTTTTATGAACCATGATTCTGATATTTTTGTCCTTAGTTTTTTATTAATCTGACTACTTTTCCTAGGTTGAACTATGAGTTACAAAAAAAAAAAAAAAAAAAAAAATCCTGTCAACCATTTATCTGCCACTGAATTCTGTGAACTGTTCTTAGTTTAAGCAACAGATCCCCTAAGCAGTTCATATATTTTAACACAGTACAAGCACTCTGTATACATAGTATAGCTTATGGCTTGCACTGATGTAAAATTAAAGGGAAAAATCCACAGTTGCATAGCACACCAAGCGAAATCCTAACCCACCAGCCTAGACCAGTCACAATATGGCACTAAGGAAGTCTACATCTTTTACTGCTTCTCAGATCCACCACATTTAGTGGTAAACATCACACAATGTTTATCTTAAGCACAAATAACTTGTCTTTCAGTCGTTGGTAACTACAGGAGGAATGTTTTAAAATGCATGTGTTTCATTAATGTTACAATATTGACCAGTGAAGGCTTTTTGACATAAAAACTTGAGCTCTCTCCTATAACACTGGCTCCACTGGAGATTATTGTAACTGCTTGGCATTAAACTGTGATGTGAAATAACCCTCTGTATTTTTTTCAGTCTTCTAATTCAGAATTTAGCCCAAAGCTCCTCCTCTGTAAGCTTTTCTGAGCCATAGCCTCAATTCTTGCATGTGTCTTGGGTTTTTGTTCATTTGCTCCAGCTTCTTTGTTGGGGTTTTCCTCTGCTTGTCCTTTATAGCTGCACAAATCTTCAGAAAACAATAAAGACCTCCTTCCCCCTTCCCAAAGTGCCTCTGCTTTTCAAGCTGATGTGTTCTCCTTTGGGGCAATTTATCTGTCTTGGGATTACTTACCTGCTTGGGTTAACCTGCTTTTGATATTAACCACCTAAAATCTCATAGGCATTTTGAAAGGGGTAGAACTGTTCTGATTTCCACTTGTACATAAGGAAATACATGCTGATTTTGTGCTAAGACTTCTACTATGGCATCTTTACTATAACCTCCATAGACAAGTATTTGAAATGTGTCAGTCAGCTAAGCAATTGAGTGGAATGGGAAAAAATGGCTTACATCCATGATCATAGAGCAGAAACAATAGACACTTCTGGTATTAACTATAGTCAATGCACTAAAAGTGTATCTCTGAAAATAATACCATTTATTAAAGTCATATTTGTGAGCTATTTCATCTTTTAAAGGGACAGATTCACATTTGTACTTATGCTTATTGCAACCTTGTGACAGTTTTATTGTTGAAAAGTTCAAGGTACATCTCATAATTGTACCAGGAACATGCATTTATCACTGGCAACAGTTCTGTGCCACATGAAATGAATTACTGTAATAGACATGTCATGTAATGGCATCTTATTATCCGCCCCCTCTTCCTCCTCTTTTTCTTAACTGCAATGAGCAGGTCAAAAATTATGGTAAGTGTAACAGACAAAAGTGATTCCTGAGTAAGTTCAAGAAGCAAAAAGATGTTTGCTAGAAGTAATGCTGTAGCAGTAAAATGAGTAATTAACACCATGTTCAATAAACTGCAGAATTAAAGTGCTCGAGCCCTAATGCTGCTGCTCAGGCCCTAGTAGCTTAGCAGATAGCAAGGCCCTTTGGTGGGGCAGGGCAGGATGGGTAGCACCACGGAAAATCAAGGTCACTTAGGTACTTCTGCCCTGCTTTCTTCATTTGCAGCCCTCTACTGCTGAGAGGCAAGGTTATCCGAAGGCAAAAGCAAACAAAATATACCTAGGCTCTACCTGCTGTTCCTACAGTTGCTGTGGCCTGAGAAGTAGGATTGTGACAGAAAGGAGAAGAGGTGATGCATGGGAAGTGTACCTGAGGATCAAGTCTCACCATGGTCCTGCTGATGCAGGTCTCATTCAGCCTTCCACCATTAGTCCAAATTCTAATGGGTTGACTTAGGACAAACTGGCATACACAGGACAGTATGGGCTAGACTGAGCACAGAGGAGTTTCTATAGCTCGACATCAGCCAATAGATGCAAACAGCAGCACTCGTAGGGTGCCTCCTTAACCACTCAGCGATTTCTGTTTAATTAGATTTTGGCCACAGTAGATGTGGCTGCTAACTCAAAGACTAAGTTTCAACATAATGAGGTTTTAATTTCCCAAGCACATCTTCATTATTTCACATCATTACAGCCTTACCTTCATTACACTTTTCTGACAACTACCTTTGTGCTCATTTTCCCATCTCATCCATAAATACAGCCTCAGCCATCAAAATACATCATTCTCAATACTGTTTCTCTAATATGGGGTTTATGTTCTTGATTCTCAGAAGAGCCAGAATTATCACCAGCTCATTGAATTGTTTCTCTCCACTCCTGAGGCCTTAGTCCTTGCAGTATGCAGAAGTCAGAATGCCTCTGGTAGCAGTGCGACTCTGCACAGTGGCTTCTCTGCTGAAGGTGCAGCTTAAAGGGAGCTAGATAATTTTTGCTAGGAATAGCAGGAAGCAGGGAATTAGTCAGCAAAAGCTATTAAGACAGCAAATATTCCTAAGTCAATTTACAAACCAAAGGCTCTAACATTTCTCCCTCCTACTCCCTCCAGCTCAGCTGCAGAGCTTTCAAAGCAAATGGGTACCTTTAAAGTTCTGCTCTTATTGAAGACACTGAACCAAGAGCAAATAAACAGCTCTTCATTTGGTCTTGTATGAAAATGTTCAACTTTAAAGCAGCTCAACCACTGACTGAAGTGATGCTGACTGCAGCAGCCACATTGGGGTAGAAACAAGCATGTTCTTTTTGATGTTTCATTAGGAGATGTGCTGGCACTGGGATTTCATTTCTCCCTCTTCATGTTCTACCTCATCTTCCAGGGATGCTTCCAGGGTGGCTGTGCAATTCATCTCAGCTATTTCAACACTCCTGGAGAGGTATATGTCATAAAAAGGGGGAGGGACAAGGCCCCTTTTGGGAGCAGCACATCCTAGCTTTTATAGCTCTTCCTAAATACCAGTATCCCTTCTTAACAAGAAAGCTCTCTACCAGCCCCCAAGCCACCTCCTCAGGCCTCCTGAACTCCTGCTCCAGACCTGAACTCGGGAAAAAGATATGAGGGGTATGTCTCCATACTCTGCCGACATATGCATACAGAATAGTCAGAACGCTAGCCCTAGTATGATACAGTGAAGGGTTTAATGGTAGGATACTATAAACATACTCATTTAGGCCCCAGCTCTGCTTACCTGTGCTCAAAGAATCAATGCTGACTGTTGTGCTTTGCAAAATCAGGACCTTAAAAATTCCCTTCAGCTTTTCAGCAGACTAAGATGTGCTGTACAGAACAAAGCATCTTTATTGTTAAAGAAAAAAGACATTCTGGCATTGAAAGGTATATTTTGAAAAAATACAGGGTTGGCTTTTACTCTCAGTGATGTCAGTGTCAAAGCTCCAATTGACTTCAGTGGGAACATGATTGTACCCAATGGGTAAATAATTGCACATATTTCACATTTCATTGTTACTGAAAACTGTTCTTCAAAAAAGGAAAATAATAGCCTGAATTCAAGGGCTCTTATTAAAAAGCCATTTGAACTGCATTCCAGTTGGAATCACATTTACCAATGAAAATATCTTTTTGCTTATTCAATTTACGTAATTAGAAAAGCACAAAAGACAGACTTTGCTCTCTATTCCAGTCTCAGTCCTGTTAGTCTTAGTGCTTAAGAGTACTTCCAAGACCAAATTTTATATTTTCTGTGGATCTCTGCTTCTACTAGTCCCAGCATTCTAATGTTTTGAAAAATTCCTCACGTCAAAAAATACTTTTTCTTGCATGTTTTTCATTGCAAAACCTCAATGCATCTATTCAGCATTATTAAACTGTTATCTCAACTGAAATGGGAACATAATCAAAAGGCTGGGTATTATTTATCTTAGCCATGTCTCCACGTCAGAAAATTAAGACAGTGATGAATTACACATTACTATACAAAATTTTATTATCAGAGACAAAATTCAAATTTGTTCTGCTTAAAATACAGAAGATAAAGTTTCTCATTTAAAAAAAAAAAATCCATTTAGTTAGAGTAGAATCCTTAGAGTAGAATAAAAAATTTATGTTATGTTGAACACACTGTGGTCTCATATTTATGGAGTCATTTTTAAAGGCATATCATAGAAAAACACTTTTATGGTAAACTGTAACAGAAATTACGGTATATTATTTGGCTAATGATTTAAACTGCTGATTAGATCTATATTCATTAATTAACATTCTAAGAATAACTCTGCTTATATTCTCAAATCCTAGGATGTTTCAAACAATAAATCAAAAAAGTTGTTAAATTTGGCATTTTTAGATATACTGAGAATCAGTATCTCCCCTCTATATGTAAAATATATGCTTTTCTATAAAAAAGAGAAAACAGTTGGCTCTATACAAAGTTGTGACTTTAAATTCAGCAAAAACACACTACCATATCCTGCACCTGAAACCTGTGCAGAAACAGGTTTCAACCTAAACCACTTTCCGGAAAGACTGTTTCAGCCTGATGCGTGAGTTGTTCCATAATTTGAGGCACTTCATTAATGCCACAGAAGTCAGTGGGGCTGCCTCCATACCTATGTATGTGGCTGAGTCATGGTCAACACAGCCTCACATCCCGCCTATGTCCAACTGCTTTGCTGTGTTGAAACTTTTGAGTAAGATCTGTAAATACAAATAACCAAAGCAAAGTTGTCCAGAATTAGAAGCTATACATGCATGTATATATGCTACATAGAGAACTGTGACATTATGAAATGATCTAGACTTCCTTTAAATGAAAATGGCATTCTGATCTTGCAAACGCTTGTGTGAAACCATTGGGGAACTGTATCTAAACTGACCCAGCTCCACCTCTTATTTGACAAAGAACTGAATTCCAAAGAGTACAGATCTGAGAAGTGATGGAAAAATATGTTCCTTTAATTACAGTATTCAGAATTAATCTAAGGCTGAGACAGACTTAATAGGGGGACTCATCCATTATAATCAGCATTAATAGTTGCAGGACTTCTTTCTTCTTAAGGTGTCAAAAGATCTTACATGTGGAGTTTCTTGGGAAAATAATGTAACTTCTTATCAAGCCTTTATTTTCAATAGTATGATCCATTTATGTCATTGACCTGTGTGTAGTGGAATAGATCACTAGTTTTCAGGGAACTGGTTTATGTTTATCTTCTGCAAAAATAGAGCAACTAAACACCTTTCAGTAAAACATCAGACAGGGAGCTACAATCTCTGTTTTTATAAGGCTATACGTCTCATCCACATCAAAGCCTATTGTCCCTCAAACATAAAACCAACATAGCAAAATTACATTTACACATATAACAAAGCTGCCTTTGTACAGGATAGTTATACAGTAATTACAATGATGTTTTCATTAGAAACTGTCAGAACATTTTTTTTTCACAGCGTCTCTAAGTCCAGGGAAGTCCATCTCTGCTGAAATCTACTGTTTGCGGAAAAAGAGAGGGTAGTAGCCACACCCTTCACAGCACAGTTTTTTGCAGTTCTCCAAACATATTATAGAGCTTTATCACTTGGAAACGATTGCAAAGTATTATTCTAACAAAACGCAAAAGTAAAACAAAAAACATTTGTCATCAGTATGTGCTACTGAAACATAGATACAAATATGCAAAACATTCTGTACAGCAGCCCAGCCATCACCTCAGGGAGCTCTTTTGAAAGCAATGGGTTAGATCCTCAGATGCAATTCGTATCAGTCACTTCAACGGATCTACCTCACTGTGCACCAACAGAGCATTTGCAGCCACATGTGTGTCCTCTGTTTGGCTACAGGTTATTTTGAAAATACAGAAAAGAACATATTAAGTGGACTGAAATGTATCGCAGAGAACTGAGACTGTATCTTGGCTCTTGGCCTCATCCGTTGTAATAAGGCTGTCCATATCAGGCAAATCCAAGCGATGATGTCCAAGAAGTGTCAGGGCACTCTGGCTAAAGCCTCCTGGCTCATTACTGCCTGCTGCAGCACAGTCCCCTCTGCTCTCACAACGCTGCTCACCTCTATGTTCTCTACCAACATCGCTTTGATATTGTTAGGAAATGATGCACGTAAAATAAGCAAAGAATTCAAAAATACCATTTGGCCCTGTCACACTTACTTCACTAGTTACAGATCGGCCAAATATAAATGCCTTTTTTTTCTGAGAAAAGACATTGGGACTGATCCACAGCACTTGCTGATGTTGGTGATTCTCCTTTAACACATCTCAATGAAACCAGTTCCATGTCTTTTATAAAATCCGACCTCAACTGTGCTACCATGTAGGGGTATTCTGAAGTAAAGCTACCCTCCACTGTCAGCAAAGACACAAGATGGAACTAAGTATAACCAGCTTCTTCAAAGTACACTTGATTTTAAAATTCTGCTCCAACTAGGGCATGTGGCCTTATTTTGGTAAAAAATCCTTACACAAAGCAGTCCCTTTGTCCCCTTCCCTCTCATTGAAAACTACATTACTCATGCCAGCATGGACTCCTTGCTCACGTCAGAGTGATTTCACTGGGTATCCATATTGGTTTTAAGACAAGTAGAAGCATCCACAGTCATACTGAGAAACAAAGCGGCCTTTTTTTTTACAATTTTGTATGTAAAACAGGAACTGCACAGTCACTAGTGCCATACAGGTTTGCACAGGCATCTGCATTAGTACAGCAACTACTATTACTACTATTATTACCACAAATAATTTGCTGTGATATCGTTCCAAAACATTTGTTAGAAAAAGGCCCAAGAAACTCATGGCCCATTTTTAAATATTAAGAAAAATATGATAAAGCAAAAAACTGTGTTCTTACACATACCTGAAAATTCAAAATATTAGACTGTTTGAAATGACTTCTGAAGAATGGACATTATAGTATTCTAGACCTTTACAAGCATTTTGGTGAACATTTTCCAATTGGGTTGACCAGAGCTCAGGGATTTAGGTTTCTCTGGGCAATGCGGGCTGACTAGCTGGACCTTTGTTTCCTGCTAGCACAAATCGATGACACTAATCTCTGAAGATCACCCACAACCCATAACCAGCAGAGGGGTGTTCTGACCCTCCTGCCTAGCTGAGAGAAGCTTGGGTGAAGCCTCTCTGCACTTGTGGTTCCCAACTGCCTTCCTGACCCGGGTGGGCTGACGGCAGTGGTGGGCAAACCGCCTCTATTCAGGCTGCTCAGAAGCAGGATGGTCCTTTTACTCCTCCATGCTCATACTGACACTGTGGCTATAAACCCTGCTTAGGACAGGCAGCCTCATATGGTGAGTACCCATAACAGGAGTGGTGGTAAGATGATATATACATAAACAGGTTTCAAAATCGCATCCCTTTTCCTCACAGAGAAAGTTACACATTTGATAAAAAGTCTATTTTAATTTACTTCAGTATTGGCTATAATCATGTGAAAAATCAAAATCTTATTATGTAGGTATCTAAACAAAGTCACACCCATTTGCAAATACTGGCTTCATTTCATCCAAATAATCAGACTTACTGACATTGTATGGAAAAATTATCTCTACAGAGGATTTTTCACATGAATATATACATATATATAATTTTTTTATTTTTTACTACTACGGGTTTAATTGTATGGTTCAGGACCTTTGCTGTGAAAGCACCCTTCTGCATCAATGGAGATATTTCCTCTGACACTCAAAGCTCAGTGAAATATCCAAAACAACCCAAAAGCTACACAATACTCATCTTCAGGTTCCAATACAGTATTGGAATTCTTGCTGTATTCACTGAAAAGATCATCAAAGGTCATAAATTTAGATGTACTTAAGGACACATGAAGTTTTTTTCATCAAAATCAATGTCCAAGTACTCCCAGTAATAGCAGAAGTGACATTTTATTTCAGAAGAATTTTTCACATTGTTCTGCCATAGTCACGATGAGTAGCTACTGTAATTTTAACAGCTATTAGCAGTGGATACATGAATAATTCTATCAGCTACAAAGTAATAGGCTGAGATTTTTGTAGTGGACAATGTTATAAAAATACAACAGGTATATTGTTATGCTGGCATAAAATCATGTCTATTCACATGTCTTCCTATGTGATTTAGTAAGCCATATCAATTAATAACTGCAAAGGATCCTGAGTCATACAAAAGCTGATTAGAGATAGAGGCCTCATTAAATCTCTACAAAATTACGCCCAGGACCTAGGTGAGGTCCACATCCATGCTGGATCCACATTTTGTAGCATCTCCTCTCACTAGAAAGAACAAAATTAAATCCCAGACTTGAAAATGCTGAAAAGTTGGGGCTATTTGGCTTCCTAATCACAATCCAAATTATAAAAACGGGGCCCATCTTTAGATAAGGACAAAGGAAGAAAAGGACTGGTAAAGGAGAAAGAAAATCAATAAGATAAATAGATTTTTCTAAGCAGACTGTATTAGAGTTTTCCGTGAGGTATCAACTATTCCTTAACACACAGCTGTGTGAAACTTCTTATTAAAAGAAGTTTCTAAAGACATATAATTAAATGCGGGTGCATTGAATATTGTAGAAACAGCTATAGTCTTGTTGGATTTAATCCATTTAAATTTAAACCTTATTCAGTGTGAAACAGCAAAATACAAAATATAAAAAATAAAATAATAGGGAATTATAATGGAAAGGCCAGCTCAACCTTAGCTATAGCAGTAATATCAACATTATCAGAAAACAACGATTATAAGCAATACATCAACAAGTATATGTAATAGATACATTTAGTGCTTGATATCTGTAGTAGACTAGTTGCTCAAGGCCACTAAATTATTAACTTACATCCAACAGCAGTTAAATGCAAGAACTTCAATTCAAATGAGCAACAGTGGAAATTTCTGTGCACTGTGCAGAATACATAGGCTGAAATAAACTTTTGACTTTGGAACATATTGTTAGCCTGCCCTTTATCAACGGAAAGACCAGAAATTTCCGTGCGCATCCTAGAGGTATGTGGTTTAATCTGTGGTGTTGATAAAGAAAAGTAATCAAAGACAATCTTTAACAAAATTGCAGAGGGGCAGACCATTACGCATGCTTCTTTTCTATTAAATCCTCAAAGCAATTCACATTTGAAGGCTTAGTTTTCTGCACACTCTTTGGATATCATAATTTTGGCCTTCATTACAGGGTAGAGGTTATATTAAATAATATTTGGTTTGCTTTTTTATTATAATAAATCTGCATGTCATTTTTTTCAGTAGAAATTAAAAATGTGACGCTACATACTGGTATTGAGGTTGAATTTGGTCAACCACATCAATAATACTTAACACTTTTAAACGCATTTCATCAGAGGATATTCAAGTGCTTTGCTAACTTTAGTCAAGCCTCACAACACCTCTGTGAGGTAGGTGAAATACATAAGAGGAGGAGGGTTTCCCTCAACTGGGACATGATAATATCTCTGGGCATTAGGCTCCCTAGCTTTGCAACACAGCAGAAAGGTTTAGGGCTTTCTATAAGGCAAATAGTTAACAGTACAAGAGCACATGGTTCCCTCCTATGGTTACATGTGGTCAAGCTAACATACATTACTACACAGCACCGAACAGTGAAGAAAATGCCCACACAAGGATTTCATGCACCCAATCCACAAACAGCACCCTCTGCACAGAAAAAGACACAAATGACAGGCTCAGGATGGGTACAACAGTTTAGTTATGGGATGTGTCTATCAGTTCTTGAGGAGCAGATTAGCATGGGAATGAGAGTCCAAAAACCAATACTGTCTCCACAGAACTCTGACAATATCTGAAGATGCTTGTGTTCGGTTCTTTTTGCACTCACATTTCAATTTACAACTTACTGAGGATAAGCAACTGCAACCATAAAGCATGTTGGTAACTTCCATACCTTGTGAAGGAAACAACCAGATAAAATGGCTTTGGCTGGCCACACGTTCCCAGTGCACATGGCCATGATGTGGTAAGATAATTGTGATAGGCTGGGATGGGATAAAAAACCACTGTCATACATCTACATTCCCCCTCTGAAGCTGCTACAATCTGTCTCCTGAAAACTCTCTATGGTTTTGTGGGTTTTTTTCTCCACGTGTAGACATGAGAGAGTATTTGGCCTCCATCAGTTTTAACCTCAACACTTAGCACCAATGGTGCAGACAGCCATTGTACAAACAGCAGTTCCACTGTGTCACTGATTTTTCAGATTAAGGATTGAGAAAAAAGAAACAAACCTATGATCAAGAATAGCATCACTTATCTACAACGGTCTACGTGAATTACAAATAAACGGAAAGAAAACAGTGCTCTTAGTATTAGCCAGTACAGATAAACACTCCCTCCCCTTTCTCCATATTTCAGTTTTTTAAGTTGGCATAAACAGTACATCCCGTATTTGCAAAAGTATTGCCCACATTGAGAATTTGACATGTCTATTGCAAAAAATATCTACAGAGCCTGGTCTACCATGTGCAAGACAGCCCTCTTAGGTAATTTCATGTCTTGGCATGCAAGATATTCTCCCTTTTTGCTAATTTCCATTTGAATCTTACATTTATTTATAATATTTGTGCACTATCAGCTGTGTAACTTACTACTGCACAGGTTGGTTGACCTGTGGTGAGTATCACTGCCTTGTAAAAGAGCTGAGAAGAGGTGGTTCATGGATTCTGTAAAGTTCTGTAAAGTTCCCCTTCAACACTGCATACGTTCACAGCTAAAACTACACTGTTCCACTGATCAGTAGTGAATAAATCTATATGATTATAATGCATGGGTGATGTTCTTCTCATTTTCTACCCCCCCACCCCCGCCTTTCTCTTTCTCCTCTCTATATATTCCACTTATTTAAATATGGGAATATGGAGACTGAAGATAGAACTGGCAACTCAAAAAATGAGCTGGCATCTTTGTAATCATTAAGAGACAATCTGAGTGGTAGACTAATTGGCAGCTAGAGAGAAACTTGATTTTGCATCTCATACTGCCCCAAGCTGGAAGCCTTCTGCATTTCCTTTTCCTTGTTCTCCTTTTGTTCATTGCAACACTGATTGTCATAGATAGTCTTTGTGCTTTGTATAATGCCCATCTGATGTAACTGGAACTCACATACAAAATGTGGCTGTTATACATAAGCATGCTAGAATACAGGCAGGGACGGTACAAGCATGCACAAAACAGTCTTTGAAGTTTTTTTTGTTTGTTTTTCTTCAACATTTACATGCACCACTTAGTATCACGTTTGGTTGTGTACACTGAGGACTGGAATGAAAACAAGCATTCATGATCTTCTGAAAAGCTTCTTGACAATTTCACAAGAGCTCAGTGTAAAAAAAAAATAATTCCACAACTTAAAAAAACCCCAAAAACTTATCCCTGCAATCTGATCTTGTCTTCATGATTTTAATGTTGAACATTTCTAAAATGTCTCCTCTTCCTCTTGCAGAGCTTCATATTAAATGGTTGGCTGGAAAGACAGATTAGTGTGTCAAGGATTTTCTTAGCCACTGGAATAGTTCTTCCTTATAAAGCCTTTGCCACTGCACATTGGCTTCCACTGTTTCCACGGCACGAGAGAAAGAGGCAGCAGCTCCCCCTTCATAACTCTTTATAAAGTTCTTTAGCTGGAAATACAAGTTAACAGGTTAAATTTGCAGGAACTAAAGAAAGTAAATAATTTCAGTGCACACTAACAAGTCAGGCATTTAGGGCAAACATCCACAATCACTGTTGAAGTAAATGTAGTATCGTGCAGGAAGATTTAATACAAAATGTAGTAAGACAGCAGACTGTCAATTAGATGTGATGCAATTGCTTCAAATTGCACTGGAAGATATTGACATGTCAGTGCCAGATCACATTAATATCATTACCTCCTCCTCTCCTGCAGCCCAGCTGCTGCACTGCAGAGACAGCTGGCTTGCTCTAAACTTTTATTTCTACCTAATATACCAAACTGGGAGCACTGGAAATGTTTCTAATTCAGGTTTATGCAAATATCAGCAGAAAGCAGCCCTGATGCCCTTTGGTTTTATCAAGCTTCAGCACAAATTTATTTAATTTTGATTTGTAGAACCCTTTTGATGATATAATACAGATCAGTTGTTTAAGAATGGAATGGATGGTTATGGTGTGAAGAGAACGGCAAAATAGCAAGTGGATTTGATTATCTTTAAATGCCTGAAACACATTCCTTCCTTTACAAGAAAACTTTGATCTTTTTTTCAGCAGACTGAAAAGGCCCCTTGTTCATTCCTGTGTATATTCAAATTATAGCACTATCACCTGGATTATTATAGCTGATGCCACTGGTGTACTTTGAATTACTGTTCTTTTTAAGCAAGAATTGCAAGGCTGATCTGCACAGTAGGTTGGTGGTTATGTTGACTTGTATAAAATTAGGTGGGTTTAGCAACACTTATCCTTAACTAGTTAATTTTTGTTTCTTGGTGACACCAAATTCACCTTGTTTATCTAAATCTAACTTCCAACAACATCTCTTTGTGCATGCCTCAAAACTGAAAAGTCTGATCCTGCAACTGTCTCGTTCCCATCACAGTTAAAAAGCATGAGAGGGACCTGAAAACTATCAAATAAGATTTTACCTGATCTCTGTACTTTTTATACCAAAATGTTTACAAGAACAGTTTCTTTTCGGGGAAGCAGAAACAGGCAGCCTGCCAATACTACCATGGAGGTGGAAACTAAGAGTACTTGTTCAGGGCAGATTCTCAAATCTGGCCAGCACTGTTGTCCCACCTGGGTAGCTTTGAGGAAAGCAGCTGTGGCTCTTCCGTAGGTTCCTGAGGCCACTAGACTTGAGTGCAGACAAATGGTTGGATACAAAATATCATAGCGCAATCAGAGTTCAATTAATGGTGATTATGTTGCATAAGAATAATTTGATCCATTTTGGGTAATGTTGAGCAGCTGCTAAGCAGAGCATAACACAACCATACAACTACCTCAGTCAGGGCAGATGTTAAGTTAAAATGAGAAATCTTTGCAATCTAGATAAGAAGTACTTATCATTTAGAACAAATTATTGTGGTGTCATTTGGCCAGAATATCAGGTTAACAGCTTTTCTCACATGAAAATACTGTAGGCAAAAGAAAAACAGAGAAGGCACTGTCAGCTTCTACTTTCAACACCAGGGTTTTCTAGGGCTGCCCTCTGCAACATAAACTAATGTGGATAGAAAGATCTCATCTTTTGTTTCTCAACCAATAGTCAAGAGAAAAAAAGCAAGCCTACACATCCAGCCAAGCACAGAGAAGTGCCTGCACTACCCACCTCATGACACCACCTCTACACACTCAGATGCCTTTGCAATCTGCTCCTCATCCTTGCTCTGCCCAGATGCAGCATGGGCCTGTGACTCCAGCTGAGCAACCAGAGTTCCTTAACAACAAACACCTTATTGCTTCTGCCCTGCTCCCTGCTTACAATGAATACAGACTCATGTGCCGAAAGTAATTTAAAATTTACCTCTCTTAGTTCTTCTTCGGTATTGAGGAATTCTGTGACACCACTGATAAGCTTTGAATTCATAAATAATGCTTCCCCATATCTGTAAGAGCAAAACAAAGATGACAGAGTGGAAGTGCACATGTCAGGCCAGCTGAAAATTAGAAAGTAGTCTTCTCTAAGCATGGGAGAACACATGGGACCAATTTTGGGGATCCAAGGGAACAGCACTGGAATTGGACACTGGTATTCGAGTGTTTCATGCTAAAAACCTGGACTGAGATGTTCTTCTAGGCTGAGCTATTTGTGGTTAACTTTTCAGTCAGATGCTACTAAGCAGAATGGGCTTAACCACAGCCGCAGATGAGAGCTCCAAAGGAGAAGGGGACCAAACTACAACACCTGATGCTCAGCGAAACAGCTTTCCATGTAATGACTCCACTGACAGCTCAAAATACAGGTGCCAAAGGAGGAGCGGAGCAGCAACTGTGGAGAAGTATTCTGAGGAACTCTTCTAGCTGTACCATTAAAACAGACTTTTTGAAGTGCTGCAGCCTTCTCTGCATTTTGTATTCATTCATCTCATCTACATTACAAATAGCCTCTTGATAAGTGAACTGAATCAAATTTTCTTGTTCCAGTATCTGATAATTAAAATAAATAATACTGATAGAGCATAATACTGCAAAAACAATCCCCTGGGCCATGATATAGCATCTTCAAAGAACCAACCTGGAATGACAATTTGAAAGCTTGGGCAAGGAATATTTAAAGGATAAGATACTCAGCAGCAATCAGCAATGACCTTCTGTAGGTAGTTGCTTTGAAACTGGCCATTCAAATCCTGCTGTTCCACTTGCTTTTCCACAAGGTTTTTTCAATCCCACAAATGAAGCATCTGTATCACTTATAAAATTAACCATACTACTCCTGAAGTTTTGCATTTCATGTTGGAATAGTTTATGGGTTGGGTTTTTTTTTCACGGTTTCTAGCATGAAGAATATAACGCTATTGGAAACCATAATCAAGTCTTTTGTTCAAGTTAGATGTCATTCAGTGTAACACAAGGCACTTGACAAATAGTTATCTTTATCTGCACATACATCCAAAGAAATATCTAGCTAATCTGGACATGACTGTTCTTAAGATAGGGAATCCAGCTCTCCTGTCAGACATGTGTAAGTAATACCAACAGACTTCACTACCGTTAAGTTTATCTGGGGGAACAATTCAGTTCATACCCTACTTTTACAAACTGATTTAGAGAAGGAATTCAAAATTCAAAGTGAAATGAACTAGCACAATCACAGCTTTCTGTTCTGCTTCTATTAATCCTAAATGAATTACCCTCAAAAGCTTAGGTACTGTAAGCCACAGTCCCTTCAAAACGGAAGAAAGAAAGAAAAAGGGAGAGGGAGAGGGATAGCCCCAGGCAGAGGAATAGAAAGAGGGAGAGGGAAGAGAACTGAGTTTTCTTTGAGAAGATTCTGCTTTAGGGAAGGTGTACACTGTGTTGTTTGCTACCTTGAGCTTGTATGAGGGGAAATACAGTTAAAGGTATCAAAAATCCTACTCCCTGACCACTAATAACTGAATTATTCATGGATATTTCATCAAGTACATCTCTTTTTCCAAAACTTGTCACACTGATGGATACAGACATCCAGAGGCAAACACCTCCTATGGGAAGTATGGATTTCATGGTCCTTTAAGCACATTTAGGCTTTCTAACAAAGCCCTTTATTATTACAGCCTCTGCTTAGCCTCATAATTGACTGCTTGGAAAATTGGAAGCTCTTCTTGATGGGGTCTTTTGACAAGGTTACCAATCCACTTTACAGAAGTGACCTCAGAAAAACCGCTGCAGGGATTTTATTTTTCTTGCAGTCCGTACTATTGCCACCGTGCAAACAAGAAGTAGCAGAATTCCTTCCACTGAAGTGATACTTTCATGAATACCTGTGCTGATTACTGCCTGTTACGCATACTTGGGTAAAAAGTCAAACACTAAGAGCAATTTCTAAATGGGCTCTGCTGGCAAAAATTATAGAATAGCCACCTCCCAAAATAGTATTTTCCGAGGGTGAAACAAGAATAAATAGAAAAAGTGTTTGCTATCGCAAGTATCAGTCTTCCCACCCTTCACAGGGAAGACAGCAGCAGGGCAGAACCAGGACCTTCCATGCCTAAGCTCCCTGGAAACACCCTGCAGTCATGGGTTCTCCACCTGATCCTTTATTTATGGGGATGTGATCCTCCAGTGACACATATTTATACAGGCTTTGCACTCATCCAAACTCAGATTGAGAGGCAACATAATCCACTTACTCTGGACAGATTTAAATGGCTTCCCAAATATTGTCTAATCCCCAAATGGTGAAAAATGATTCAGCACTTGAGAATGAAAGAATTCTTATAGGCAGCTGTTGGGTTAAATTTTCACACACACACACGTGCACACATGATGAAAATGATTTAGGAGCCAAGGTAGTGCATGTTCAGGTAACAGGAATTGAAGCACAGTATTTTCAATTCTCTTTTTTCAGAATTTTAACAGTCCCACAGATTTCTTACAAAAGACTTGCTTGGCACCTCAGTTTCTAAATCACCTTTGTAAATGGGATATGAGTGATTCTGAAGACTTTACATATTATCAGTATCTTCTTGACAATTCAAACACAAGTATACTGTAAAAATATAAAGGGATTACAATATTTTGTTGTCATTCTAACTCTTTGTCATGCTGTGTTTTAAAGTCAGAATACTGTTATAGCATAATTTAATCACTCTCAGTTATTTCATATTACTATCTCAAACATCAACACCTTTTATAATAAATTCAATGGAAAATACCACTGAGGTATCACCTTATTAAATCAATGTTTTGTATAAGGTATTTTAGTTTTTAGTAAACTTAAATAATAAATTATAATTGTAGAAAAAAAAGATGCCTTGGGACAGTGTACTTAAACTATAATTCTGCAATAAAGCTTGTATTTTAAAAGTGTACTAGTGTGCAAGCTTAAATCAGAAGCCCAGTTCTGCATTTTAGCATGTCACTGTTTCCCTGAACATTAAGGGTCAAGGTGACAGACTAATTCCACTCTCTCAAAGTCTCTCTTAAAAGGTTTTAATCTATAATTACAAAACAGAGTTCTTTTCAACATACATCACATATGTACAGCTTTCATGAACTATTTTATTCCACTGCATTGAATCTTTTGGCAAATGATACAAACTCAACTGGACATCCCTTTTAGAAAAAGGCAACTGCTACAATCCTTTTGGTGGCTCTGACTTGTATCTGGCGAATGTAGATAACAAAGTCAGTGCTGGACAAAGAGACAGACTCTCTGTTGTTTTCTCATTAGAAAAGGACAAAAGCCAGGTTTTTGATGAGGCCTTGCTGATTGTTAGGAACTCAGATTGCAGAGTGATACATTCCAAGCAAGTGAGATAAATAAAATTCAAATTTTAGGTGAAGTAAAGCTATTTAAAACACACAAAAAAATTGGCATGTGGCATAGTTTTCTAAATCTTGCCCATTTGTCTACACTGACTAGTCTTGTTCATGTCTAAAATCACAGCTGTTAGCTAGATTGTCAGATAAATGTACTTGCTACATGTTTATAACTTCTGCATATGTGTTTGTAACAATACAGATTTTGACAGATTTATGCCTAAATTCTGTATAAAACCCTGGAGAAACCTAAAAAATTATTTGCTATGCAGAGCATAACTAACTGCACTGGGTTGTATAAAAGTAATGGGTTTGCAATCCACTTTCTGCATAAATGTCCAGTCCCTGAAATAATCATACCAGAAGCAGAGGATTCTTAACTTTTAAATTCTTCAACACTCTTAAATCTTTTTGGATATTGCTTTCGAAAAGTATCTCCTGCAATATAAACTTCCAAACTGAATTCCAGCTCAAACCTATTTTCCCAGCTGAACTTCTAAAATATCACTAAAGTATTATCCAAAACAGCATGAACAACTTCTCGAATCTTTAGGAAAGTTGAAGTATTTGAGTTTCCTTGACTCTTCTCCTGATGCTGTGAAACATATAGTAAGTTGGTACCTGTATTCATCAGGCACTAGGATCTAGTAGCTTAAATATAGCATCTTAAATAAACAATTTCAAATATTCCTTGGTATACTAGATGGCTCCTCACAAGTCCAGAATGAAACAGATCTCCAATACTTTTCTGCCAACACCATGACAGTGGCCTGGTGTGCAGTGTCTCAAGTTCTTGGACACCTGCCTTTAAGAACTTGAACTTCATCCAAGTTGTGGCCCCTTCTAATCTGTCAGCATCAGATGAGCTGCTGTGAAATCTTTCAGACCCTCAGGCTCTCCCTAAAAAACTAAAGAAATTTCTCAGTCATTTAATTAATATCAAAATCTTTATCAAAAAGGATTTTAAAATGTTGATTGTGCTTCTGAGTAGGAGCATATAGCACTTGTTCAAAGAGAAAGAGAAGCAGATATAAGGAACAACCTTGTCTTTTCCTGTTCATCTATTTTTAACTCAAAATGTTGCTCCTCTATTACTTGAAACTCACCTGAAATGCAGAGTGGAAGGAAAGGGGATGACACTCTATTAACATCCTTTTGAAAACAGAAATGTTTCAAAAAGGGTTTGGTGTTTTTTCCCACAGTTGAAATAATGTTCTTCAAAAGATTTTTTTTGTCAGACTGAAAATCAGCAAAATTCCTTTGCTGTTTTTTTTATCTAGGTGAAAGTAGAACTGCAGCACTTGACATATAGATAGACAATACAGTAATATATATACAGATGATTGCTAAGAGATAAATGTTTCTATGCATGTGTGTGATAATCCATGAATAAATGCATTTATGACTCGTATGTATGTATTTCATATTTAGAGACATCTCTATTTATGGATTAAAAGAGAATGGACTAGATTCAGGCACTTACATGAATGTATACATAGACAATACTTAAAACAAATTACATCAAAATAAGAAAATTAAAATAAATGTAGGCTTTTTATCTTTACCTAGCATTTAATATTTTCCATTTTTCTCTGAAAAACTTCCAAGCAAGATCCCTTCCATGTGGATTTCGAGCTACATGGATTATCACATCAATTGCATCTTGATCCAGGACAACTTCTGAGTTGAGAGACAAATTCAAAAGCCTAGTGGGAGAAGCAAGGAAAAAAAATCCTATTTAGTTTCACCGAAACATAGTCTAACAACAGCACATCAGAAAACTCTCAGAAAAAAAATAATCACTACCAAATGGTTTGTTTAACTGTCCAAGTGAATTCAGTGGTTTACTTCTATGATTTCAAAGACCAGGCACATTCATGAATCAGAAAAATTTTGATGTAAAAGGATTTCCGAAAAGGCTGAGGGGAACCTTACATGTACATTTTTATGAAAGATCAGACTGGTCAATATATGCTAACAAAAAAATAGCATTATTTATTATAGGATTTCAAACATTTCCAAAGAACACAGGAAAACTTGGAAGTGAAAAGACATAATATGTGTCAATTTTCATATGCATTAATGCAAAAAAACATAAAACAGTTTAATAGACAGTAAGCTTGGGCTTGAAAAGCAAAGTTTTTTCATTTAGACCAAAGCTCAATTGATGATCCATAAATGTTGAAGTGATTATTGGTAACATTCAGATATAGATATTTTGGTACCTGTTCAGCAAGTTTCTGTCATCACTGCAAGTTAAGGCTTCTAATAATATTTTCTTCTCAGACACTGCTGTGGTAGAATGAAATTTCATCCAGATGAACTCCCATACATCTTCATCCATCAGTGAAACTCCTGTACAGTAGACAATGTCTCTCACATTGAGTGGGATTCTACAAAAGAAATCAGTAATAGCACTGTGGTAAATAAGTAGCCTCTTGATATTGGAAACAAAGGAAGAACATCAATACCTTTAAGGTAGTGCAACAGTAACTTTTTTTTTTTTTAATTACATATGCATCACTTTACTGCCGCCGAAATCTTCCAATTTTCCAGGCCATCCTAATGGATTTTCTCACAGGTAACACGTTTGCCACTCTTTTCACAATGCTATCACACTGTTGGGAGACTATAAATTATGGTCATACAGTTCATCAACACATAATGTGCCACATAACCTGCAGGACAGGTAACATAAGCTCTCCAAATTAGCATGGGATCTTATCACTCTGTTGCTGGGCACTAAGCCAAATCTCTTCTTCTTGTCCTTAGTACTGAGGTTTTAGAATAGGAGCTGATCAGCCAGAAACTCATCCTTGCTTGTGCTGTAATGTGCTCCATCTTCATATAGTAACATACAAGTAAGGAAGGATGTGCTGAGACAATGCTACTGAAAAATGGTGGTTTTGGGAGAGAAGAAAATAGAAAGATCTGTTAATTTTTACAGCATTTTAACACCAGCTATGCCATAGGATGGTTGTGAACTCTGATTACTGCTCAAGTAATACAAATTCAGACTACAGTTAAATGAAAGTTTCTTAAGGCCAAATTCAGATCTAGTATAGGATGTGCGTATGTACAGTTTTGCTCTAAAAAGATCTCAGCTGGGCTTTCAATTTCCTATCCTGCTTATGCTTCCTATACAAGCACAGAAGCTGAAACATTTGTGAGCTAAAGGGTATTCCTGCAGATAAAGCTAAACACTTCTCAGAGGAATAAGTTTCTGATTTGCAGAAAAGAATGCCCTCTTTTTGTTGCTAAAAATTACACCAAAACACAGTTCTCCAGGCTGAAACACCTCTGGAACTTTGTATGTAAGATCTCTGTAGAGACTCTAGAAGTACATACAGCTGCTGTCAGTGACTGGGCAGTAATACAGTGAAATTATCTCTGTAAAATCTGATTTCAAATCTTACACAACACAGAAAGAGAAGGTTACATCAACACTTATTGTAAGACTTTCACCAACGACTTACACCATACACTGGGCTATCCCAGTCAAGAACAAAGAGGTTCTTTTACTTCCATCTGCTCATTCTCCAGAAAAAAACTTTCTTCCACTGAAATTTTCTATTATTGGGCTCTGTAATGAGTGCTTTTGCTAAAAACCTCTTTGGTCATGTCTGAGTCCCTGGAACATGAAACACAGTATGGCTTTTCAGCATTTCAGAATTTTGATTCCTCTTCAGTACTTCATAAGGAAGTAAGCAAAGTAAGAAACCTTATGTTGATGGCTGTTAAGGGTTACAAGCTATTGTTGCCTCTATGGGGTTAGCTGTTTCCAACAAATAAAGACGGTTTCTTGAAAAAAAGAACAAAAGTATGTAGCTAAATTAAGGAAAAACTGGAAAAAAAAGTGCACTCTTGCTACTGGTAGAACAACTTTGGGAAAATAATGCCTACTGCTTTTTTGTTATGCTTTTTCCAAGTAGTAAGAAAGTCCTGAGGTTGAGGCTTTGTTCATGTTCTCTGGCTAGTGTAGTCATCAGCTCCGAGGGAATATCTGCAGATTTAGATGCAGATAGTCACATGAATTTTGCTTCTGCTGAGCCGACAGGGCTCAGAACACTGCTGCTTCGTGAAGATTTTTTTAGCAGAGTTCCATACTAACAGAACCACAAAGGGTTGACTAGTGCTGAGGTATTTTGCATTTGATGCAGACAAACCCAGACATTATTCAGGAGTGAACTCTCCCAAGCAAAACTGAAAGGCTAGGCAAGAAAAATGTAGTCCATTTTAAAGCTGCTAGGAATATGACACTTTTAACTATGCATAGCACGCACCAGCAATATTGCCTTCTAAAGCAAAATCAGAGGTGTAATGTCTCATCTTTGCCATGAACAGCTTCGATCTAGCCTGAGTAGGTTGGTACTAAAGTGAAGATCCTGGCATAGTTCAAGATCTTACTGTTTCTTGTCCTCCCACCACCAAATCGCTGTCTGAGAACACGCCATCCAGAGCCAAGCCAGGCAGTCAGCATGGATATGGTTATGACCACATAGCTCAAGCAGGTCCCCGACACACAGATGGGCCTCCAAAAAATGCAGGTTCCAGAGTTCCTCCCCCTTGATGCTTCCTATTACCTTCTTGGATTTTTCTCTAAATGTTCAGATGACCTAAAATGTTTGACACTGAAAAAAGTTAGGAACTCTCCTTAGATTTACCCAGGATCAGGAGGTTTTGGCTTATATATTGTTGATGCAACTGCTTCTGTGGTCCCTACAGAACTGCTACACCAAGACCAAGGAAATCAGAACATCCTTAAAGCTAACCAGATCCATTAAAGGAAATTGTATGTAAACATACATAGCAATAAAGAAAAAAGTTATCACTTTCACCAGGTTTTCCATACTACTGAGTTTTGAGATTCTCAAAAACTGAGTTAACATTAGTAAAATGTGAGTTTGGTTGACATTTACAGAAATATCCATGTGTGCTAGGTGCTGAATTTCCATTTCATTGTAATGGAATTTGTACTTCTTAGTTGAAAGTCTATCATTAAACCCTGTTGCGATATTTCAAACATTAATGGATATCAACATTTTATTTTTCCCCCATTTAACCTTTCCTTCAAAAAGTGCATGCAAAGGAAACTGCATATAATTGAGTCTATTACAGAAAATTAAGATTACTTATTTAAACACAAGAAATTAAGATATACTAAAATTAATGGAGCAGATATTTAGGTGCCTCCTTTGTGTTGGCTTATATTAACTCAGAATGAGGCTTACAATTTTCTAAATAACTGCAACTCTCTCAAAACTTCAGGTCAGTAATTACAGTAACATAAATATGCAGCCAAATGTACATACACTGCATAGAACATAAAAGTAATATTAATTATTGTCATGTTTTTCTGATACACTAGGTTATTTGTCCTTAAAGCACATCTTCCTTACCAGTTTATGTCTTTTTTTGCTTTTAATTTTGGAATTAATAAACTGACAGCAGCCATAAGAATATATGCTAAACCAAAAGTACTAAGGCCAGTATCCTGGCCATGGGACCAAACAACCCATTGCCCCAAATCTGTTTTATCATATGATATCTGAATATGAAGAACAGTTGAACCCAGTCAAGCCTTATTTCAATTTAAAAAGGACTTTTTATATATTGACACACACATACTAAGTCATTTTTTTAGAAGCACGCATAGTTTTTCTGAGCTTTGTCGGCATAAATATTATCTTTGGTTTACTGCAAGAGATGTGACTCAGCCAAGAGATACTATGAGGAACTATAAGGCACCTGGGAAAAGTAATCCTTTTTTGGTTGACTGCTCCATTAATTCAGGTATGAAACTGTGCTGGAAGGACTGTCAGTCTGTGCTTGGCTAGTACAGTCAGCAGCAGAAGTACCTAGAAGTGGATGTCTAACCCCAAAAAGATCAGCATTCCTCACTTCTGAAGTTTACATTTTGGAATTTTACAGTAAAACATGTCAGTTCAATGGGCTTTCCCAGCTACTCCATCTTCTGTGTTCTAAATGCCAACATTAGCGATTTTAGCAGCAGTGCAGTCAGTAACCACAGGATCATTTGCATGCTCTGTGAAGGAAGACTTAAGACAAGTGCTGGCATGGAACCCACGACCATAACTAGATATCACCATGTTTCTTGCAAACTAAACTATTGCAACCAAATCAGTCATAGCATATTTGCAGTGTAGCAGATCTACTCAATATCATCCAACCAATTGCTCCAGGAAAAGTTTTAGGTCTCTATCTATAAGCTAAGTCATTAGGACAACGTGAAAAAAGTCAGCCCCTACAAACCAAAACATCAGAACAAATACTGATTTTAAAAGGCTTAGCTTCAGAAACTACAAAACTCATGGCTATGAAAAGCCACAAATTACTCCTGTGAGAGGCTTGTAATCAAGACTGTAGACAGGGGGGTTCTTCTTGTGAAAATGAAAATTGTTTATGAAAATGTGAATATCCCCAAAGTCATTTCTCTATTGCCTCAACAGAGACTCCTCTAATTGAATTTTCTCCATTTGTGGAGATTTTTGCTTTCTCTCTCCTCCAGTCATTATGGGCCCGTATTTCATCATTATCTAAACATATGAAATCTCCCCAGTCTACGGATTTTTTTAATTTTATAGCTTCATGGAAAATGTTGTTTTAAAATTGCAGTTCCAAGGAATCAGATCAGCATGTTGAATGTTTGCCCCCTGTATTAACTGAATCAAGTGGATAAAATCACCATTGTTTCAGTACAGCTTAGGTAGTAACACTGCAGAACATATCCCCGTGTTACATTAAACCTCATCTGGGCCTTCAAGGCTGCTCTCAATTTTAAAGAGCTAATATGATTGATGGATACTTCAGAAGAATAAAGATAAAGATTAACTTTTGAAAGCATCACTTTAAACAGCTTTTATTTGAATACTGATCCAATTTATTTAACTTTATTTTTCTTGCTTAAGAGATATGATGGTGAGAATGAAATATGTAACTAGCAGAGCTCATGCTTAAAAATTAAACACTTTGGGAAAAAAGTTAAAAATTAAACAGCTAGAAAAAAATTAATTAAAATCGTGCTATGCCTTTACATGGATTTTATTTTTTTTTTCAAGAGTGAATAATAAAGCTCTACAATGAGCTAAGAATAATCTTCTAAGTTATAATTAATTGGTACATACTTGCTCCTATTTAAAGGATGTTCTAACAATTGGAGATACACTTATAAAATTGGATCATAATTATTTATCTTCTGGGCAAATTGTGTTCTAATTTTTTAAAATGTAATTGCACACAGTTTAGACCATTCTTTGATTAAGTGACAAATTTCAATACCATTTAGGGTACTATTTGGCAAAGAAAATTAATCAGAAACATTATTCTTTATTTTTGCAACTATTTAACATTTAACTTGAGCCTATTTTTCTTG